AATTCGGATGCATCCGAGTCACAACCGTTACCGACTCAGAAGGACAAGAAAACTCGAGTTCGGTTTCGTACGGGCCGACAGGGGGAGGTCCACACCGCTTTGGAACTCGGATTCATCCGAACTACAACGACGGACTTTACAATCCACTTGTCGACTTCGGATGACAACGTATTCGCCTTCGTCTGCCGTATCAGCGTTCTAGGGCCTTCTTGCGAGGTGTTGCTTTTCCCGGGGCAGGTGCGTATGCGACATCGGTTTTTCGACTGCGCCTGCTTCGGATGTATCCGATCTATCCCACGGTCTTCGTTTTCGAGCATTCGTTCTCTTAAGGGCAGTGTGACGAGGATGGTTGACGATGCCTCAGATTCATCCGAAACGTGCAGGCTTGTGGACCACTGTCGTCTAACTATGACTGAACTTCGTTCTTTTGGAGTCCGGGTGACCGATAACAGAATATGTGTCGTGGGTCGTGGTTAATGTTGGGACGTGATGACTATTCTGAGTGAATGTGGGTTCATTTCCTCCGTGTGTTTCAGGGAATGGCTTCACACGGACGAGGCCGCTCCGCTGGTGGTTCCGCCCCGCACGGAGAGGAGCGTCGAGGGACGACGTCGTCGCTGGCAAGGGAAACGAGTCGGGGAGTTGGAGGTGGGGAGGAAGAATGACGTGCTCAAAACTTGTGGTGCGACTACAGCAAACGTGTCTGGTATTTGGACTGGGCGAGCCAGGACGGCTCCAACCCGTTGCAACCACCGTGCGGGCTGCTCTTGTTCGTCGTCGTTCGCGCTGACAGAACGCTTCTCGCAGGGTCCATCGTCCAGTGGGTCGACGATGGCGAATACAATTTCAAGTTTACGTTGAAGAAGCATTACAGAAGTGATGGTTCTGTCGACGGCATCGCAAAGGGATGCAAGGTTGCTGGGAAGATGTTCGGCGGGTACGGCCGTCGTGCAATGTCTTTGCCTCACTTTCTCCCGCTAGCGCCGGGGCACGACGAGGCCGTTCACGTTACAGACTTCCTCGAGGTCTGGCGAAACCTGGTACCTCTGTTAGTGCCGTGGACGTCGGACCTGGAACATCGATCAGTGGTCCTGTTGGGTTCGCGGGAGGAGAGTGCTCTGAAAGGGAGATGGGAGGTCAGGGTGGCCTGCCAGCTACGCCTCTTGATCAAGAGGTGGGCATGTTAGACGACTCGGAGGACGACCATCTGCGTGCTCCTTTGAAACCGAGCTTGCATATATCTCGTCGCCACGGTTTGCTTGGGGAGTCGACTCCACATGGAGGCGGCGATGGCGAACGGTTGCGACAGGGCTCAGAATCGACGACTCCTCGTTGTCTGGTCGAAAGGATCGGTTCGTTCGTTCGTGGCATGCAGGTGGCCGAGGTTTCGCCTGGAGATCGAGCGGGTGGTGCGCAGGTTTGAGAGGTGCGTGGGTGAGATGAGACGACTCGCCGGGCCCGACCAGCGCCGGGGGAACTGCAGACGGAGTTGAGCTAGGAACGAGAAGCAAGTGGGAACGTCGCCGGTGAGGAGGAGGTGTCCGAGCAGGGGCTGTTCCGTGAGAGATCGGCTGAAAAGACTCAGTCGGGGGGCAAGCGCAACTTGCCGGCTGAGGAAGAGCGAGAGGCACTAGGTACTCTGAAAAGGCAGAGAAAGGTAGGAGGGAGTGCTCGGACGCCAACAACACGAGAGGGCGGTTCCGTTGAGAAGAGGAAAAGGGTTGGAGGTGGGGATGAAACGCCAAAAGACTCGTCGACACAGCGAAGAACCGGTGAGTCTTCCGGAAAAAGGGCGAAGTCATCGAGGGGGAAGAAAGCAGACGAGGGCGATAGAGGGGAGGGGGATGACGACGTGGAGATTAACCTCAACGCCTTTAACCTCGACAATGCGTTCTTCCTCGAGAGGCAAACAGGGGTGCAGAAGGACGTCGTGTTGCACATCCATCCCGAAAGAATATTAGCTATTCCTGACTGGGAAGACGCGTACAACCACCGATCCTTGGACGAGTTCCTCGTTGATACCATCGCGGCGGCTTTGATCGACTGCTACGAACATAAAGACATGAGATACACGAAGCCCATTTTCGTTCTCGCTCCGATCGTCGCGCCTCAAGAGAACGGTGAGTCTGCTGTGCGCGTGCTGCCTGCTGACTTCGACAGCTCACACCCGGAGAGATACTGGTATTATCTTGTGTGTGGACAGCATAACGCGAGGGCGGCAATGATGGTGAAAGACCATCCCGTGTTTGATTACTACAACTTTTGTAAATGGCCGTTCAGACCGATCTACTTCCTTGATGACGAGTTCGACGGCTACGCCCATGTCAGCTGCGAAGACAACATGAAAGACAAGAAGAATCCACCGCGCTTGCAGGTTTTATCTATGCAGGACATTCGCAATATCTGGAAAATTAAGGGCAAACCGCGTGTGGTGCTCGGCAATGCCTCGAAGAAACAGGACGAGGTGGGAAAGTGGGTGCGGTTCATGGCGTTGGCAATGAAGAAGACGCCGTACACGCCTATCTGGAACCTGTCAACGGAAGCAAAGAAAAGAAAGGAATGGGCTGAGAAACTTCGATACTACCTCCCGCTGGCCATGGCAGATGACTCCGTCTTCGCTTTGGGGGTGAAGTTCTATGACGAGTGGTCGAAAGGGAAACTCCTTGCTTTCGACGGCCAGCGTTGGACTGAAAAGCCGCCCACCCATGAGGAGGTGGCCAAGCCAGGACTCTCCACTGTGACTGACAGTCAGCGGCTGAAGAAACACGTCTGGTACTTGAAGGTGGACGACCCGTCGTTGAAAAAAGGCAGGGGAAAGCCAAAGAAAGGCGCGGAGGAGAAAACTTTCTACGTCCAATTCCAGAGCCGGTCCAAGTTCCAGAGACGGATGTCCACTGCTGGAAGGAATTGGTGGACTTGACGCACCGCGAGAAGAAAAGGCTGTTGAACGGCGTCTTGAACCTTAACGTCGTGTGGGTTTAAACGAGTAGCAAAAAGTTGGCCGAGCAGGGGAAGTTCAGTGTCAAGGAGATGGTCGACATAATAAAAATGGACCGGATTATACTGAGGCTGTGGCACTACGTGGAGTTCGAGTACGAGGAAATGGATAAGCGGGAGTGGAATGCCAACTCCACGTTCTCCAGGTCCAAGAAGCAACTGTTCGAAGAGTTCAAGGACAGAGGTCTCGACGACAAGCTTTGGAACGAGAGCATGAAATTTTTCACGGACACCACATATGTCAACAAGTGCCCTCAGTTTCTCGGGTGTCAACACGACAACAACATCAAGAGAACGGCGGCCCTCGTCAACGACCAGCATTTCCCGGCGGAGTGGAAGCGTGTCATCCTTTCAGTGATCACAAGAGATCGCGCCAAAGGCAAAAAAAGCCCTCGGGGCGTTGATGAATGCATCAACATTATGTGGACAAGGACAAGCGCCTTGACGACGCTGGCCCAGTTTAACGTTGACCCGTTGAGTGCCATAGATCATAAGCAGGCGCTGGGAAAACTAGGGCATCAGCTACGCTCCCACACTTGCATGCTCGACTTGTGCGATGCTGTGGACCGTGCGCAATGGGACTCTGGGGCATTCGCGGCTCTGAGTGAGTTGCTGGGCTTCGTTTGTCAGGACTACTGGACATTGGTGGTATTCGTTCCTTGCCTGTGGAACCTCTCCTTCATGACATGTTTGTCTGCGCTTGGGGCTACCCGATGCTACACGGGGAAGTGGGTTCGGAAGACGACATCGAAGAAGACACATCAGTTCGGAAACAGCGTCTGGGAGGAGCCGGATGTGATGCACATCCTTTTCAAAGGCGAGGATCCTCGGCTACTGACTCACCCGGTATACGAGGGAGCTGTTGCTGAAGACGACGACGCCGCTCTCCGGAGGAAACAGAAAGAGACACCCACGGATGTGGAGGAGAAGTCTTTCAAGTCTTTGACTTTCGCGGACATCGGAAACCTGACTCAGAGGGGGGCTCTGTACAAGGACGGCGAGCGGAATCTGAATCAGTTGTGCAATCAGCTTCTTTTCTTCTGTGGTGTGGCAGATGCCGTGCTGTTCTTGGGCAAGCCGCACGCGCAGGTGGTGTGGAGTCTGCTTCAGCAGGGAAGGCACGTCTTGGTCGTGGATGGGGACACAACGCAGCTCGAATACACCGTGCAGTATGTCACCCATGAAGTGTCGTCCAAGGCTTACCCATGCGATTTCCACCATGTCGTGGTCGAGTCCATTTATGACCCGAACAAGGACATGTTCGTCAAGTTGACTCCGAAGAAAAGGCGCCAGGTCTACTCCTTCCTTTACGGCGAACAACCAAGGTTGAGATTTGACCCGCAGTACGTGGTGCGGAAGGAAGTCGCCATTGCGGTCCTCCAGGGCTACCACGGAGCGAGTCGGGCCGGCCCTGTGAGCTTCATTAAGAGGCTGGAATATATCTTTTTTAACGAGGATGTTGTCGATCCGGCCGACTTCACTTTGGATAAGTACAAGCTGACATTCGGAGAGGAGGACGGACTTCAATATCGAGACTGAGCAGGAGGAGAGCGTTGAGGACGACCTCTTCGATTTGGACGGGCAATTGCTCATCTTCAACGCCCAAGTTTCTGAGTCGCCATCAGTATGCAAGACGGGGACACCTCTCGCTACACCTACCTCGGGCCGTCCCACGCCCGTGTCCTCCTCAGCGCCTGTCAAGAGGGGTGGGTTGTCCCGTCTGAGGAGTTCGCCGGGGGAGCCTATTCGTCTCACGCCGCAGCCCGAACGTCTTCGACCCGACCATCCAGTTCCTCCGGACCATCCGCATCTCAAGGCTCCTGCGACTCCCTTCCACATGGGCAACAAACACACCTTCTCCACAGCCGAAGATTGCGGCCATGATATCGTGTGGCACCCAGACCATTTTCAGCCAGTCCTTCTCGACGGCGAATGGGCAGTGGCTGTGAAGGACGTAAGTGGAGGGTGGATATATGACGATCGTTGGGACCTCGAGACATTCAAATCTCGCGCCTACGATGCGGTATTGGAGAGATTAAGTGAGGTCAATTGACGAAATAAGGACGACCCTGCTCTTCGCGAATACGGGGACACGCTGTTCGAGTTTTTTCAGTCAAATAAATGGCTAGAAGTGTCCTCCGCGCTCTACGCCCTTCCGTCAAGCCCGTCAATTAAGCAAGTGAGTTGGGAGTTGCCTGGGGTCACCCCGCCGGCAGGAGTTGTGAAGCGCAAATCTCGTGGAAAGGACGGCGACGGGGATGGTGAAGGCGTCGGACAACGAGGTACCGAAAGTGGAAGTGAACAGCGATCGACGAAACAGCGGTCTCAGGGGCACGCAGGCGGTGGAGATGGGAGAAAGGGCAGTTGGGAGAAGAAGAAGCCTCGCAGCGGAGAGAAGACAAAGCATCACAGAGGAGACGGGCAGGGGTCCGATGTCGACCGCGACAAGGACGGTGGGGTTCTGGCGGTAACAGGCAGCACCTCAAAGGAGACGGGGAACGACTTGAGGCCTGGGTGTATTACGCGGCCTGGCGAGCAGGACCCTGTGATTAGCTCCACCAGCGAAACACAGTTTGTCGATGCGGTTGGCGGGGCGGGTGTCACAAAGCATGGAACATGCTTCGCTCAGCTCCAAAWACGGTTGGCGGATTGTCTCGGATCAATCCGAACCTCAGAGACGACCTCGTTGTCCGGAACTCAGTGCCTTTCGGGAAGCGAGACGACAACATACCACGGGAACGGCAGCAACAAGCTGGAACCGTGTTCTGTTTCGCCTCAAAAGGAATTTCGGATTAGTCCGAACCGCGAAGGCCGTGCCATTGAGGGAGCACAGCTGTCTACAGAACTCGAACGGGTGGTCCGGGTTTCCGAAAACCCTGGCGACGAAATTCGGATTCATCCGAACCAGGAAGCCGTGTCTACCATGACAGACAATCGGTGTCAGGATGCAGTAATGCTCTGCGTGGAAGCCCACAAGGAGCTGCAGGCGGACTGTCGGACTGAGGGTGAGTTGGCGACCAATTCCAATGTCAAGCCCAACACACTCGGAGCCGAGTTAGCAGTCGTAAGCGACTCCCCGATGAAAGCGGTCATGTCAGCGTCGTTGGAAATTGCGGGGGCTCGAATGAATCCGAACCAGGGCCCTGTGAACATCTCCCTCCCTGATGCATCTTTGGAGACGACCGTGATTCGGATTCGTCTGAGGCACACGGACGAAGGACTTCAACTGGCAGGCGTTGAGGGTTGTCGACTACTGACGACTTTGGACAAGGACAATTCCGCCGACGACCGGATTGATCTGACACTCAGCGACATCGGGATGGAGCTACCAGTTCAGCCGGGATACGACGATCCCTTGTACTCCGCCCTTCACAACGAGGCGATGGGGGAGGACGTTTTGAAGAAGGCCTCTGACGCTGTTGGAGATAGATTTCTCTATTTGAGTGACGACGACAAAGACACAGCGTACGGGGACAAGAAGTTAAGGGGGGGA